CCAGGGACTTCACCTGACTGCCATGACCTTCCAAATATTATAGGCAGTGGCATGGCAACTGCATTAGCCAATTCCAGTGTTGTGCAACTGCCTGTCAGGAAAGCATGAGGTTCAGCTTTCCAAAAGAGAGGTAAATAAGGGCACGTTTGCAACTGGGCTGTCAGCTCCCCAGAGTCCTTTCAGCACAGAATGGCAGTCCCTTCTGAAGTCACTTACACACATGGTTCACAGTCCCATCCTCATTTTCAGCCTGGCAGGAGCCCCCAGATGTCCCACCCCTCTGCAGGAGGTCTCCCTAGCTCCACCCTGTGCACGTGGGGGAGCAAGTGGCAAGGCTGGGCTGGCAGGAGGACGCTGCGGTCCTGGGTGCTTGGGATTGTCAGTTTGGGTGAGAGAAAACCTTGCCTCTGACCAGGGCCAGGACAACGTCCCTGTTATCTCCTACCCACTGGGGGAAAACTGTGTGCTCTGGGTCTCTGTGCCTGCATGCTGCTGTTGCTATATGGCACGGCCACCAGCTCTAATCATATTAATGGCATTTCACACTCCGGGAGAAGTCATTAAGGACTCTGTTACTAGGCACGGGCTGCTGCTGGCTTGGTAACTGAGATACAGCTCCTGGAAACCTCACTGGATCTTTCTGGATGAGGAAATTAAGCTCAGGATAGGATTTTTTTTTAAATGGCAGGGAAAATGTCGGCTTAGGTTCAATATCAAGGCAAATAATTCCAAGTCTGTGATAACCAACAGAAAATTTATAGCATTCAGCATAAAGGTACTTGAGCTAGCAGAGTTTGAGGAAAAATGTGAACAACAATCTTTGTCCTTCCAGTTACAGTTTCATTCCAGATTTTGCACTGAACTCTATTGCTGTAACAATCATTAGAACACCTCTGCTTTGAAAAAGTTTTTAAAAATCATCACCAAACAAATAATTTACCTGATTCTCCTCTTAGTTCTCTTTCCAGTTTGACACCAAAAATCTCCAGAGCTCTTTGTCTTTCCTCCAATTCTTCTAGTTGGCGCTGGACTGCCTGCCAAAGCAAAATGATATAAAAGCTACAGACATAGCTTAAAAATTCACAGACAGATGATGTTCACAGTGGTTAGAGAAACAACTTGAAAAGGTCTCAGAGGAGTCGTGGGATTTGCAAACTCATTGAGCATATTAGACGCCTAGGCAATTTTGTAATTCCACTAGGTATCTACCCACATTTTTATGTGGATAAGTGTTATAGGTACTAAAAGAACCTCACTTTCTCACAACTTCAGCTCTCCTGTTGTAAAACAGACATCATAATGTTTCTGTGTCTCGCAAGGTGTGACAAGTCAATGCGTTACCCTTTCAGAGGCACATATTCTGAGATGCTACGTGAATAAAGCCCATATAAATAGTGAAGGTTTACAGCTAGAATTTGCTAGCTATTTTGTTGTTTGTGGGGTTTTGTTTGTTTTGCTTACATATTTCACAAGCTTTTAACACAGGAAAGAAAGGGTCTAAGAAGCTAAGAAGTGAAAACTCAATGGCACTTCAAGAAGGTCTTCTACATTCACCTGTCCATCCTCCTTTAAATAAGGTTTTCAAAGGTGCCATGTGGATAACAGGCATGAAATACCCTAAAAGGCTGAACTGCCAGACAGATACTCAGCAGTTCCTATTTCAGGCTGTGTTAAGACATACCAAGCCAAGCCCTCATCAACAGCCTAACAAATACAAAAGACAGTTCAAAACGTTTGATTATTTCCATAAAACAGTAAAATCAGAGAAGGTCCGTATGTATTTACTTTTACCTTGAGATCATTTACTGTTCTTAGATAAAAAAAAAAAAAATAACATAGTTACTCTTACCTTGGGTTAAATAAGGTAATATTTTTCTTCCCATAGGTCTTATCCTGTCACAGGTTTTCTAGTAATGACTAGATAGTAACATTTTCTGAAATCTAGTGTCTGATTCAAATATAAAACTTCTCTCCTTTTCAGTACTGCAGAAGCAGTGATGTCTACAAAAATGGAGATTTCAGATTCATATCTGAAAAACAGCTTACTAGTTTTATTTTTTAATTTAATATTGGTACAGAAATAGCAAATGGAAGCTTCATTCAAAACTATCCACCTGCTGTAGTAATACAACAGAAGATGGCAGACAACTCTGCCTTCAAAAAGCCTGATCTGCCCACTACTGTATCTTGATTACCATTGCAACCTGAATTAATGAGGTTAAATCTATCTCAGTTTTCTTTGGCTATGCTACAGTACAGACACACATAAAAAGTGCTAACAGCCACATAAGCCATGAAGGTGTGAGTACATATATACACACATATAGATATGTATGTGTGGTAACTGAAATAGATCTGAAAATTTTGACACCTGAGAGAATAGTCTGAGATAAAGTTTTGCAGAAATGCATTCCCAAATCTTGGAGCTGTAATATGAAATAATAGAACATTAGCAGAGTCAAGAGTTTTCCCAGCATTTTCCAAAGAGCAGCGCCTGGGAAGGGACTTTGTATTCTTATGGAAATTGTTCACTTTCATTGTTACAGCACAGACAGAACAAAATCCATTACTGTATTTTTGTACCCTCCTGTAGTACATAGGGGTAATTGCCGAGTTTCTTACATTTTCAAGGGCTGATATTACTCCCTCTTTCTTTTTTTTTCCCTATTCTGTGTATTATTCTCTTATTGCCAGTCACTATTCCCCCTTGTTCTTCATACACAATGACAAAATTATTATGATCTCCTGGGGCACGTGTGGATTTGTCACATAGGTTTGCAAGGCCCTGCCACATAAATTTTCCTGCTCCTGATGGTTCAGGGGATTTCAACACAGAAGGCAGTGAGCTGCAGTGAGGAGCAAGGGGAGGAGCAGTGCCCTCACTTGGTACACCCCATCCTCGCTAGTCACCCCAGGAGACCAACGGGACATCTGTGAGCTATGTTTTTCACCTGTGCTTTATGAAGCCTCTTCAGCTCCTCTTGTTTAATCAGTTGCTTTGTCTCCTTCTCCAGCTTCCTTCTCCTTCTGAGTGCCCTTTTTGCCTACAAGAGAGAGAGAGAGCAGGGAAAAAAAGGCAATCAAAGCATAAGTGTGCCGCTACAGGTTTCCTCAAATCTTTGCCAGAATCACAGAACCATTGGGGCTGGGAGAGAGCTCTGAAGATCACCTAACCCGACTCCTTTGCTCAAAGCAAAAAGAGCTACTGCAGGTGCTTGGGGTGACCTACCTAAATGAAATTAAAATATTCACGTAGGAACATTTTCATGCATTTGCCTACATTATCTTTAAACCATTACAAGCTCTTATTGCAACTCTGAGTGTGAACTGTGTCTATGAATAAAAACCATACAAATCACAAAGTTGACTGTATACAACACACCACTATACATGGCTTCTGCAGACATCATCATGATCAGGGAAGAAGCCAGGCACAGGTTGGGGGGAAGCACCAGCTTAAGGAAACTCAACCCATTTCTATTGCTGTAGCTGCTAAGTTGACTCACTTGTACCTTGGTAACATGGGCTTATCCAAAAGAAATCACAACCATCACAGCACACTACCTGAAGCCCTACAAAGTCTTTCCCAGTGCCATTTCTGTAGTGTGTTGCAGAGGTAACCCAGGGCACTGGTTGCTGCTCCCAGGAAAGCGGAGCAGCACGTGCTGCAGGGTGGCTGAGGGAATCACCTGTGCTTGCTCCATCTTGCCCTTGACCCAAACTATCTGGAAGTGCTTCAAGGCTCTGGTCTTCCCATTTTGGAGGAGACAGAATATATGAGCACCATAGACAAGACAATTTAAAAATTAACAAACCAGGAAGCCACTAACATTTTTCCCACCAAGCTTTGCCAGAGCCAGACAGTAGTACTGGCACAATAGCAGCCAGAACTGGCGTGAAAAGAGGTGCTAGGAGGCCACAGAGAGAAACAGGCTGAGTGGGGAACATGGATCAAAACCAAGTCACAGCTAATGCCCATGTGCCACAGCTGCTCCTTCACCCTGTTTCTGGCAGCTGCCCCAGCAGCACTGCCCTGCCCTGCCCACTGCTGGGTCTGCCTGTCCCTGCCTGTCCCTGTGGCTGCCTCAGCTGCTGGGAGAAGCTCCTATCCAGTTTTCTACCATTTGTCCCTTCTTTTCTCTAGTTTGTTCAAGCTTTAATTCACCATAATACTATCTTACTACAGATTGCCCTTCTGTAACAGGGAAGATAAATGATGCATCCTGACATCTCAGCACATCCTGACATGGAGCCAGTGGTGGGACGTGCCACCGTGACACACTGCTGTGCTTCTGTCTGGTGGCACGTCAGGAGCTGTGCAAGTGGGTTTCTGTTCAAAGCCTCTCTTGACTCTCAGCTCAGCTGCCCAAGACTGGGCAGCCTCTTGTTTTGCTTTGCTTTCCTTCCTCCCTCCCTCACCCTTCCCCCACCCCCAAAGGCAACAAATCAAAAGGCCACCACATACTATTAATTCCACTTACTGATATTCTCCACAGGAAAGAGGTAAACACATTTCTGATGAGCTATTAGGCAATAAAAGCTCTCTTTCTTCGCACCAGAGTTGGGTGTCAAGAGTTCACTGGTGCTTTAACCCCACTGCTCCTGCTAGCCACAGGAGTGGAGTTAGGGCTTGGGGACCCCAGTGTGCAGCTGGCCTTTTTGGTGTATAAGGTCTGGGGGTGACTACATGGCTCACGCAGTTGTGGTGATTAGGATAAATACAGTGTTTTCCAGGCAACCTGCCTGTAGCATGTCTCAAATGAGGCTTTATTTCCCCAAGGGAAATCTGTTTGGTTTAATTTTTTCAATAGTTTGCTTGTTGGGCTACATATTAAGGCCACTTAAGAAGGCAGCTTCAAAGTGGTTTCAGTGCAACATGTCTGTTTGTCAAATTAAGACCTCCTCTGTCAATGCTCATGTAACCTGGGGGAATCAAAGATCCAAAGAGGAAAAGAAATTTTGATGTTCATTTGTCTTACAGGGTTTTAATGTATTTTCTCTCCATAACACATAACCTCCAATGATTAAATGTTGCAATCCCCACTTTGAGAAACTGCTGTGTGTTTTAGATCAAAATTATATGATAAAACTTAAATACAGTCCAACTAAGGAAATGTCTTCCTGTTTCCTAGTCAAGATTACCTTATGTTTTAATGAAGTCTTAGGTTCAAATTCATCATCGGAGGAAGACGTAGAGTACTCAGTAGCTTGTTTTCTGACAGGTATGTGTTCACATCCTAAAATGCAGGAACAAAATAGTCAGTGAAGCAAAAAATACTCATCTTTATAACTTATGCAGCCACTTTGCACCTGCCCTGAGTTCTAATCAGCAGCACATAGAGCAATTTGGAAATTCAGCTGGTGGCACTTAAGGTTTGATCCCTGTCAAAAACTCAGTCTGCATATATATGTATGTATATATATATATATATTTTTTTTTTTTCCCCCCCCAGGTATTACATACAAAGAAATTAATTCCTTGAGCACCCTGCATGTAGCATGCTGTTCTGAATACACTCAATGTTCATTAAAATGTATATCTAAAGTTAGCCACATTACCCAAATGATTGTATAAGGCTCACTATGCAGTGTAATTGAATGCAAAAAGTCTGAGCCAGCTCTTAAACAAATTACCCTTATGTGGCTTGTAGCATCTGGCACCCATTTTTACTACATGACATCTGCTCAGTGTAAAATAGTTGGCGTCAGAATGTCTGGTCATATGAAAAAATCACAAATGTAATCAGAAGCAAATGGACTAAGAGAACGAGGCTTTATCACACAGCCTCATGCAACATAAATATTTCATTAATTATGTCTAAACAAACGTCACTTATTTTTCTGGTCTAGGAATATTATCACATCATTGAACTGTTGATTAAAACGCCATAATAAGTCAAGAAAATCCATACATCACAACAATGCACTCCATAAGGAAAACTCAAAGGCTGCCTTTGGAAGAAGTATGCTTTCAGAATTACAAATTAAATTACGTTTAATTGCAGCAATTTTATCATGCCTGTTTTTCCAGCATCTTGTTTCAACGGGGTGTAAATATTTTAATTTCTTCTTAATTTGTCTAATTCATAGCTTCATTCTCTTTATTTCAGAAAATAAAACTGCTTTTGGAACATCTGTCTCTACACTTCAACCTGCTAGAGGGTTAATGATTAGCAGCTGGGCAGCATCCTGGGAACCACATCAGTTAAAGGTAACACTGCTGCTTTTCTTTGGAGCTGCGAGGTAACAGTCGCCTTTCTCTGTGCAGTTGTATCCAGATTAAAATCACTTCCCATCCTCCCAGTGTAAATGTTTCTTCTTTGCCTTACCCTGGATCCCAGTCCTGAAGTAGGACTTTTCTCTCCAGCCCTAATTTAAAAACAGGATCCATGAAACACATTCATCCCAGACAGTAAAGCAATGAAAGCGAATCCAAGAAATTTGAGGCAGAATTTTTGTCAGCAGTCTCAATTTCAGAAGCACCCAGACCTTGTGTGGATGAAGCTGCAAACTCAAAGGGTCCAGTGGAGCAGATTTGGGTCCTGCCCACCTTATTGCAGGACAGGTCCTTGGGCAGGAGGAAGTGCAACAGCCCTGGCAGAAATGCAAAGTGGGGTAGCAGCCTCCTGGGTGGTTCCTCTGCTCCAGAATTGCCCAGGCTGCTACCCCACCCCTCCCTGCCTCACGGCACTTGGGGGAGGGACACAGCTCCTGCTTTCTGGCCTGCCAGGGACTCTCTGATGGCTCACGTCTGCTGGAGTCATGACGGTGCCTGGCATCACCTGGCTCTGCAGATATCAGGCTCTGCAGACAAGGGTACAAATCCATCCACACCCCACCTCTGCCCCCAGCAGGGCCAGTGAGCCATAACACCCTTCCAAGTGCACAAGATGGAAGAAGACAAGGGGTCATCACTATTTCTTTCGAGGAGTAAACTCCCCTACCTTGCTTTTCTCTGTGAAAGCAAAGGCTTGCAGTAACTACCCTGTGGTCAGGCCACTGATGAAATCAATTCCATGATATGCAAGCAGCAAACCTACAGCCCAGCAGGACTGGAAACAAGCAGTCACATGCTCCCTTTCTTCTCTCAGCTGTGGGAATAAGTGACTGCTTCCCTGTGTCCTCCTCTTCAAGTGATATCAATAATTTAAAAAGCCTTACAAGGTCTAGAGGCAAAGCAGCCTGCTGTGACACGAGGGAACCTGCCTCCTCTTCAGGGGTGTGACCAGGAGGCTCTTTGCCTTTCTGGGTCAGAGAGAGGCTCAATGACTTCCCCAAGGACATCCAAGAGCCATCTCATGTGCACTAGGAAGCCAGAGTCAGTGCATGGAATAGATTCATAACATCCACAATGCCTATCTGCTATAGAGAACCAGGTATTTGCACCTTGCTCTGCAAAGAAAAGCAATTTAGGTTGCTCCGAAATAGCTCAGCCTTGCTCTTGGGGCACTGATGATCCAAACCAGATGGGAATTGGCATGAGGCAGGTGATGAAGAAAAAGGCCAGTAGAAATCAAGAATGGACTTTGCTATTTGGCTTCACATCTCCACTTCTCTACAGATTTCTTATGTGGCATGTCATTTAACCTTGTAGTGCCTCAGGTCCCCTTCTAAAATATGAAATCACCACAATAACAGTACCCTGACAAGAACATTGCAAACACACAGACTTTCAGTGCTATAAAGATGCAGTAATGGGAACCATGTATGAACCCAAAATATTTGCAAGTAATCCCTTTTCAATCTAAAGGTGCACAAACCTGTAAAGTGAGATCATAACATCTAATTTTCTCATTGGCTGAACTGGTAGCTCTACTTAATGAGTTGAGTAACGTAAACAACACAGTCACAAACTTAGTTATAACAACACTCATCTAAGGATGTTATCACACAGTTCCTACTCTATCAGGGACAGAAATATTCCTCCCACATTTCCATCACTATCAAGAAGCAGCTCCCAAGTTCCAAACATCTGCCAATAACCAAACATCTTCATGGACTGATCTTCAGAAGGTCTAACCATAAGCCAAAAGTAACCCAAACCCTGGATCCACTACTGCATCCCTATGACAAACACTCTGACTGCAACTCTCATATAACCTGGCTTTGCTCTCTTTTTACTGTTGCTTTGTTGTGGTACTAATTATTTTCAGTATCTATAACATAGCACTTTGGGGTTTTTTTTTTAATTTCAAAAGGGCAAGTAGGCTTAGAAGAAATCAGTTATCCATCTGATCGATCGATTTTACTGATCAGGTTTTGGCTTTTAAATTGCAGTTCGGAATCCAAAGGAGGAATCAAAGGGCAAAAGCCTTAAAGACATTTGTGCAACAAATAAAAAAGTCTGGAATTTCACATAGAAACCCCATTGTGGCTATTTGGGGACATTTGTATACTCTACAGGCAATCTTAGACAGGATTTTATTTTTTGGTAAAATCCTTCTCTCACTAAAATCAGTGCATGAACTCCCATTACTTCAGTAAGGTTTGTCCTAGGTCCCATACTTGTAGTCTATACAGCCAGATTTCTGCACAGCCCCAAATTTCCAAGTAGTTCTGAGGAACATCTTTTAGAACTAAAATGTTAGACTGAAAGCCTTTAGACCAGGTCTGGATATCAGGAACTTGAATGATCCACCTGGAAGGTGTAACTGCAGACCTATGTTTGAGTGATAGGAAATCTCCTGCTGAGCAATAAAGATCTGTTTCCTCACGTTTCTTCAGCTGGTGGCTGAACACTTGGGCAGGAGATGACAGAAGGACAGGACATAATTTTAGTTTGGGCGGACACCTGGGTCTGAAATGCAGACATCATCATCATAGGAAAGACATTTGGACATATATTCACAGGTTAAGGAACTAAAATAAGGTATAGGGAAATATGAGCAATCTAGCATGGAAACAGTTACGTACAATGAGACTGAAGGTCCTTCTAGGCTGTTTCCAACAGTGGATGTCTAAAGGAATACTACAGTCACAGGGCAATCATATGGGATTCCTCCCCTTAACACTCACCCAGCCTCCAACCATTTTTCAGTTCAGGAACTTTCTGAATTGGAAGGGGTTTATAAGCGTTTGGTTAATCCTCAATGGATTTCTCTTCAATGAGTTTGCCCAATCTCATCTCAAGCCCATGGACTTGTATTACCCAGCTCACTCTTTGGCTCCACAAGCCCATTGTAGGAGAAGGCACCAGTGTAATGTAAGAGCAACCATACTTGCACAGAAAAAGCCTGTACGGTCTCGAATAGGATAGACAAAACTTACTGCAAAGAGCCAAGATGAGTCTGAGAAAAAGCCTCATTAAATTGGTTTCCGCAATGTGCAAAGAGTTGGTTTTTCTTTAAAGAAAATAAATTGTCTGAAGTTTATGGTAAATTTAAAGAGAAAAACAATGACATGTAGTGTGGGCTAAAGCTTGCCTTCAGTTCATGACTGAAGTTTTCCAAGCCTGGGCCTCAGGCAGGTGCCCATATGAGACAGAAATGCCATTTTAGAGAGCCAAAAGCAGGACTTTGATTTTTAACAGTTTGATTTCCTCAAATATAAATGTTTGAAGAAGTTCAGGGAGCTGCAATGTTGAAACGTCAAAGATGACAGATAGCTGGGCAAATGGCTAGATCAAAGCTGCATCTTTTTCCTTCTGGACAGACTTTGCAATGTCTATATTCTGTAATAATTTCATAATTCCTCTTTTGGCTTACACAGCAGAAGAATGCAACACATATTAAACCAGCCTGTTTTTCAAAATATTTAAAACAAAGTATATTATTATTCAAATCTAACAAGCACTTTTCCCATTTTAGTAGGAACACAACGTACTAATTATTGTAATACATCTAGTTAAGAGTAAGTCAGCCTGGCTTAGTTGACAGATAATGACTAGGTATAGACTCAGAAAAAGCCTGTTTGAGAGGATGTTCCCACAGCATCACAAATGTTAATGCTAGCAACTCCCTGTGGCTTCAGTGCAGTCCATAGCATCCTCTGGGTCAATGGGGATGCCTGGTTTTGCAAGTTGTTAGATAAAGGATGATCCAAGAAACTGATCCAAAAGTTCAGAAGTAAAAGCAGGAGTTATTTTATCAATTTCAGTGAGCATTTGCTCAAGTCTCCTACATACTGTCTTCCTCCCAGTATACAGTACTTATGAAACAGAAAGAATACAAAAAAGGATCTGGCAGCTCACTGGCAACATTTCAGTAACTTCCTGTAAAATTTACATAGAGACTGTTATTCTAATGCTGCAGTACAGCAGCAATTTTGGGGTTACGGTTTGGGTTGCCATTTAATAAGGTAAGAAACAAACAGGTATGTCAAGAACATTCAGTAGTTTATTCAGATAAATAAGTGACTTTCTGCAGTGGGCTAGTGGCAAGATGGATCTCAAAGAAAGGCGAGTGCTGCTCTCATACCTCATATTTCATACCTAAAACTGTGCTGCACTTTATTCTTTCTGAGACTGTGCTTAGATTGCTCAGATTCCTCTTTGTCTGATGTCAATGTTTCTTAGACTCACCTGCAATTTTAATGCTATCCTTGTTGTTGCAACCGAACAGGTAAATTGGTGTTTTTTAATCATTGCCCAAATAGACTCACAAACAGGTACAGAGGAGGCCAATAGGGTGATACCTCCTCTCAAATAATAAAAGAATAAGAGAATATTAATGACACCGCAAAGCTCCCAAAAGTATGTCTGCAGCTTGGTCACTACAACAGCAGACAGCTGGAGAGACAGCAGCTGAGAAAGCACATACACAAGCAAAGCTTCTTGCTATTGCAACCATATTGCTCCATTCTCTGAGCTCCTCCTGGGAAGGGCAGCAAATGTACTCTGCAGTGCACTGGTGTTTTCAGTGCTCACCTTCCTGCTTGCCTGCTGTACTCCCACTTCACCACACACCCACTCAGTGTCACAGCAGCAGATGCTCAGCACAGCATCCCCCTCGGCTCCACAGCGTCGTCTACCTCAGTGAGTACATTTTCCTGATCCAAACACATCTGAACAGCAGCGAGCAGCAGACCAAACTCGGGTCCAGTGAGCTGCACTCTGCTTGCATATCTACTCTGCTCCTTTAAACCAGAAGCAGCTTCTAAACCTTAACCAAAAAATGTATTTATGAAGTCTTCCTGTGCAGAAAGTAACTATATATTAAACACAATATACAAGATATGTGTTTGCATGATCACACGCAGGCCTTTGAAATATTAAGTGCTGTTATGTAATAATAATTTAATAATTATAAAAATAATTCCACTCAGGTCCTCACCTATGGAAGGATAACGTAGCCTGTCTTCTAGAGAATGGTCCTTCATGGAAGGTAGAGATGACACAAAGGAATTCCCTTCTCTGTCACAATCTTTATTTCTCAGTCTACTGAAAAGTGACTCACGACTACCCTTTTGTGTGGAGTCATCCAGATCATCCTTGGAGGTGTTCTTAGGCTCTGGAGATGAGAGAAGGAGGTACTTTTCATTACAGATAAATATGTCATCCATGGGAACTCCTGGAGAAGTCTCTTTAATGGTAAACTTTTCTAGGAGTCCTGGGACATCCTCCATTCTAGTGCAAGATGATTTCTGAGGTACACTGGTTGTTTTGGAAGGCCTGGTGTAAGGACTGTAGACTGGGAAGTATATCTCCTCCCTGTAATCCCTTGGAGACTTCTCATCAGCACTGACAGAAAAAGCAGATGGATTTGAGAAAAGGCTCCTATTTTCTAAATGTTCTCCTGCCCTCTCCCCTACTTTAAGCTCCTTTGACTGAGTGTTATTTACTCTATTACTGTTACTGTTCCTTTGGCTTAGGGAATAGCCAGGAGTACTGGGGAAGCTGAAGAAAGCTTGTTCTGAAGCCGCTTTGATTTTGTTGTCTGAGTCCTGCTTTAGTCCTTCTGGCGACGAGGTTAGAGGTTCCAAAATGGACCTCTTAATCACATTGGCTATGAGTCTCAGTGGTGATTTTGGCCGGCCAGCTGTGTGCTCCCTGGCAACTGCATCTGGACTCCTCAGAGCATCTTTTGTGTCGACTGGCAAAGCTGGTAGAGCACTATCTGCAAATAAGATAGGCACAGGACAACCAGATAGTTCAAACCTGTCTTTTCTCCAGTCAGTATCCTTCTTCTCTGAAGTCAACAGCACTCCTTTGTTTTGATACCCTGGGCTGGTTCCACCTAAGTCTGTCCTATTTGAATCATACGACAAAGGTCGCTGTTGACTACAAAGCACTATGCTCTTTTTTGCCTCCTTCAGTTCTTGCTCAAGCTTTGCTTCTGGGCGCCTCCCATTTTTGCCATCTTTCTCTTTCAAATCCAGAGATGACAGCACTTTTGTCTTCCTGTTAAAATCTCCTGGTTCAGAGGTATATTTCTGGATTTTTTCCTTCCAGCCCTGGACTGAGTATGTCCCAATGTCACTATCTGTATCTTCAGGCTCATAAAAATCAGCAGCTAGTGTCCCATTCCCAGGATGAGTTTGTGAAGAGACTCCGGTGCTGCTCTGAAAATGACAGTGGGGCACATAGAGACTGAAGTCTTCAGGCACCTCTCTGGCTTTTTCTTTTCTTAGAAATACTGGGCTGTAGGGTTTGAAATGTCCTCTTGTAGCTTCTGGTGTTTTCTCGTAAGAAGCAGACTGTGAAGCGCATTAAAAAAAGGATTATTTTAGGGGCAGAAAAATAGAGTTTAGTGTATCTTTTATTTCATATAATATCTTTGTAATTTTAATCTTAATTTAATACCAATAAACATATAATTTAATTTATATATACATACATATGTAGATAATCATACAAGAAGAAAAGCTTTTTTCTCTAAAAGGCTAATATTTCTTTTGAGTGGAGATCTAATACTCCTGGAAATTTTAATACTCTAAAAATAATGTTATTCATGCTAAGAATCTGTCATACCTTAATTAATTGCTTTTAATATTTTCCTTAGAAAGGAGCAGTCCTATTTACAGGAAAATTAACAAGAGCAGATGTACTCTGTTCTCTCTTGTGCATTCCAGTTACATCACCTTAAGAGTTTCCAGCAAGCACAGGAGATCATCATCCACCCTCTCCACCTGCTTTTATAACATTCCATGCTTACATAGCTCATGTAGGAATGAAGTGACCCAGGAAAGACTGTAATGTGCAAGACAGTAGTTTTAAACAATTCAATTAGTTCTCTCTTATGATTATTTTTTTTTTCTTTAGTGAAGATTAAATTCTTTACTCTAGCCACTGAAATTTTCTGCTGGAAATAGTAACGAGGATAAACGCCCACATTATCTAGACAGCAGACCAAAACTAAAGGGCTTTTTTTCCTTCTTAAAGGGAGGCAATTTATCCTCAATACTATGTGATAACGGATGGTACAAAGATTCAATTCCTGTTTCCACTTATGTGCCAGATTCCCAAATTCACACAGGTGAAGCCATTAATCTGTCTGACTTTTCATTTCCCAGAAGCATCAGAGGTAAAGCAATAGTGATTACTCCTTGTTTCACAGTTGTACTTGATGGCTAAAATTAATACTGGCCAGGATCTCAGATAGAAAAACATGAGAAACACCAATAAACAAATAAACACCCTCTTGATCCTCTCTCCTTAGAGTAAGAAAAAAAGCTGTTAAGCACTGCTTCTGGAGTGGGAGCTGCACTGTGTCACCTCTCCCTATGCACAGCTTGGCCAGGCAGCTTTGTGCAGCTCTGCTCCCTTGGGACAATCCCTTCCTGGCCCTATTGTCCTGGACCGGATTTCAGCTACCACCAGGGATGTGGAAGACTTGATTTTTTTTTTAACAAAGATCCTGAGGTCAAGCAATTTTAATCATGTTTAACCCAAGGGTGAGGACAATGGGCTAGGACACAGGGGATGTGGGCAGGTCCCTGCTCTGCCTGGCTCTGAGTCCAAGGGACACCCTTTGCTTGGGACGGTCAGTCATCACTCCTGCTGCAGTGCTGCACTTACGGCAGGCCCACCACTCCTCAGCCTTAATAATAACAAAACAAAAAAGCCCAAACCAACCAAAAAAACCCACAATCAAAAAATACAACTGGAATCCTAGATCTTGAAGGAAGGTAAAGATACTCCTGAGCTGTGGGAAGTGTGGAGCTAGGGCCCTGCCTCAAATTTAGATAAGTCTTCTGCCTACCAGATGCAAGAGGCAAACACTAGAAAGAGGCAAACCTGTGTAGGGGGTAATGACCTGTGTGTAAGGGCTGTAACAGCCTGAAATCCCCCAGTCTCCCATGGCAAGCTTCCTATCACTATGTAAGCCCTCACCTTGGCTCTCAGATTTGCTTTCCAAGGCCAGTGCTGACATCTGCCTTTTGCCCACTGATACACAGTTATCAAGTGGCTTTTAAGACACTCTGATGTGATATCCTCTCACCTCGTTGCTGTTGGCACATGGCCTTGCCCAACGTGCTACATGCACCCATCCAGCCCTACAAGCACACAGGGAGACTAGCAGCCAGCTCTGGAGCACCAGAGGTTTGAGGAATTTCCTCTCCTTTAGGCAGGAACTGTGGCACAAAGGAAAGCTCACAGCACCTAAGCCCCTCGCTGCGTGGGAAGGGCAGGGTGGTGGTGCATTGACTGATGCAACAGATCTGTGCCTAACTCTCAGAGAGACTGAGGTCTGAGTTTCACAGCAAATATGACTTAGCCACATGATTTGGGAATGCTTACACCGATCAGGGCATCAAAGTCTCTTCCCTGTATAGCATAGACAGAACACCAACTTTAGCTAGTTAGTGTGAGGACCCAGACTATTTGAAAGAGCAGAGGATGCTCAGACAGCCTGCTGAGAGCAGACTTACCCCAACAGTAGTTATACTAATTTTGCTCTGCACAATTCTCCTTCTTACCTGTGTTTGGGAGTGATTCTCTCCAGGACTGCTTTGGCAGCTGGCTGAGCTGTCCTTCCCGTGTAGCCCAGGCTTCTTGCTGGACAGTAGAGGGAAATCTGCCAAAGACAAATTTCACCATCACATTTGTAATGGTTTTGTCTTATATAAAGTTTGTAATTAAAGAACAAGAGCAGAAAGTTAAACAGTCATCTGGATACCGTTGTACCTGACAAGCTGACCTACAGTAATGAATTTTATGGCCTCACTCACATGTGTGCAGAGTGCCAAACATATGTTGACATTTTCAGTGGCGGACCTGAAATGCTTCTATTTTTTGGCTGGATGTTGTGAAGCAGCTTTTAAGTTCCAGGAAACTTTCTGGAGAATCAGCTCTCTTTAGAGGGCTTTCAGGCCTTAAAAGCACAGGCAGTCAAAACAACCAGGGACTTTTGAAGCTTTGAGTAGTTTCAAGAAATGAAGAAAATGGATGACTTCTGAGAGGACT